TGGACACCTTTGGACGCTTTTAGAAATCTCCGGAACCTTTTTCAGGGTTTCGGTAAAAAACCGATTTTTCTTAGAGTGTATATCTCCTACTATTTATACGTTTATTGAATTCCTTAAATTCCCTTGAATTGCTCTGAGTTGCTTGATTTGCTTGAATTTCCCAAATTTCCTTCAATTTCCATAATTCCGTGGTGTACCACACCCTATATCTCCTACTATTTATATGTTTATTGAATTCCTTGAATTCCTCTGAGTTGCTTGATTTGCTTGAATTTCCTAAATTTTCTTGAATTTCCATAATTCCATGGTGTATCACACCCTATATCTCTTACTATTTATATGTCTATTGAATTTTTTCAATTCCTTGAATTTCTCTGAGTTGCTCGATTTGCTTGAATTTCCTAAATTTTCTTGAATTTCCATAAGTCCGTGGTGTACCACACCCTGTATGCCTTACACTTGTATGTGTATTGAATTCCTTGAATTCCTCTGAGTTGCTTGATTTGCTTGAATTTCCTAAACTTTCTTGAATTTCCATAATTCCATGGTGTATCACACCCTATATCTCTTACTATTTATATGTCTATTGAATTTTTTCAATTCCTTGAATTTCTCTGAGTTGCTCGATTTGCTTGAATTTCCTAAATTTTCTTGAATTTCCATAATTCCATGGTGTATCACACCGTATATCTCCTACTATTTATATGGTCATTGAATTCTTTGAATTTCCTTTAATTCCTCTAAGTTGCTTGATTTGCTTGAATTTCCCAAATTTCCTTGAATTTCCATAATTCCGTTGTGCATCACATCGTATATGCCTTACACTTGTATGTGTATTGAATTCCTTGAGTTTCTCTGAGTTGCTTGATTTGCTTGAATTTGCTAAATTTTCTTGAATTTCCATAATTCCATGGTCTATCACACCGTATATCTCCTACTATTTATACGTTTATTGAATTCTTTGAATTCCCTTTAATTCCTCTGAGTTGCTTGATTTGCTTGAATTTCCTAAATTTCCTTCAATTTCCATAATTCCATGGTGTATCACACCCTCTATGCCTTACACTTGTATATGTATTGAATTCCTTGAGTTTCTCTGAGTTGCTTGATTTCCTTCAATTTCCTAAATTTTCTTGAATTTCCATAATTCCACGATGTATCACA